GTTAGTTCATACTGATCATCTCACTGTTACCCAATTCATTTTTTGTGCTAAGTACAGCTAGGAACTTACTTATTCAGATCCCTGTTCTTACAAAGCTGGAATCTGTGCCTACTTTAAACAACTCCTCATGCCCCTCCACTAGGCCACTCTGGGGTCCACACAGGACTTCCTGAGTGACTCTCACCACTCCAGGTTCCTCTTTAAGAGGCCTCCCACAGTACCTGCCTTTGCCCTGGTGTATTCTGCTTAGCATAGTAACAAGAGTCATTGATATTGCAGCAAGAGTCAGAATTTCCTTCCTTTTGAAGGTTGAATAATATTCCATTATGTTCTATACCACATTTTGCTTATCCATTCATCTGTTGATGGACACTTGGCTTACTGCCACCTTTTAAGTATTGTGATTAATTCCCTATGAGCATAGTTGTATAAACATGTCTTTGAGACCCTGTTTTCAGTTCTTTGGGGAATTGTTACTTTTATGTTAATTCCATTTTTAATTTTAAGGAATTGCCATACCTTGTGTAAGCCTGCATTGTTCCATACCCTCTTCCCCAACCACTGCCTTCAACGGTTTATTTATACTCGGGGCCTCCAGAGTCACACTCATGAGTTCATTATTTATTCCTGTGGTTTCTGTATTCCGTTACTACAGCTAAGTAGCAGGGACAGAGTGGTGACTGTCGACCATGCTGGAGGCCACAGCGGGAGAAACTAGCAATAAACAGATACATGCTCTGGCACTCACAGTGAGGTTACAGACAGAACTGTGGGATGCTGAAAATATCCTGTTAAAAAAGTAGGGGCTAGGGCTGAGGCTCAGTTGGTAGAGTGTTTGCATCCTCAGCACTGAATAAAGGGTGCATCCCAGCGTTTGGGAGGTAGAGGCAGGAAGATCAGAAGCACACGGTCATCCTCAACTATATACTGAGCTGGAAGGCAGCCTGTCTCAACCAAAAGAAATAAAGCAAAGCAAAAACACAAAGGTCAGCATGATAGCTAAGCGTAGAGGCACTTACTGCCAAGCCAGATGACCCACGTTCGATCCTGGAGACCCACCCACAATAGTGGAAGGAGAGAAATGACTCTCAAAAATTGTCCTCTGCAGTCCATGACCTCCATGTACACATATGTGTGCATATACATACAAGAAAAATACGCCGAATTTTAAGATTTAAAATATTTTATTTTTTATTTTTATTTTATGTACATAAGTGTATTGCCTGCATGTAGGTAGATGCGCCCATGTCTCACAATGCCTGCAGAGGGATGGTTGTTAGCTGCCATGTGGGTGCTAGGACCTGAACCCCGGTCCTCTGCAAGAGTAGCTACTGCTCTTAACAGCTGAGCCATCTCTCCTGCCCCAGAATTTAAAAAACAACAACAAAACCAAGGAACACTGACTACATAATATCTGTTGTTGATCCTGATTATAGTGTGTGGCTGACCAGGATTTATTTGGTGCTGTGTCTAGCGTCTCATCAGAGCATTGTATAATGAATGGCCAGCCCAGGAGAAAAATCAAAATGTAAAATTTCAAGTATAAGTTTTCTCCTGAATAATACATACCACCTTAAAGGTAAAAAACCATGCAGGAAATGTTAATAAAGCAGGCACCATCTCTATACATGTAAATCTGTCACAGCTGGATGTGATAGCACACACTTGTAATTCCAGCACTTGGGAATCTGAGGCAAGAGGATCGCTGTAAATCTGAGGCCAGCATGGGGTACATAGTGAGTCCTTGTCTTACCTTCCTACCCCTGAAAAAGATATGTGTCATAAATCTTGAACTATGATATATGTTATAAAAAGAAAGAACTGGTTCCTAGACTGTGGGCACCAAGGAAAACAAGAAGCTGGCACTAATAAATGACCTAATTTAGAAGAAGGAAGTCTGGGTTTTAGGAAGGGGCAAGATAAGACGGGGGAGGGGGAAGGCTCCTGGCAGAAGAAAGCAGAGGTGTTGATTTGTGGAGACTGAGACCTATACATCTTAACTGGAAGGTTCCTGAGTACATAATTCAACATGCATTGGCTCATATTCAAGGCCATCCTTGGCTACCAAGGGAGCCAGACCTCTGTAATCCCAGCTCAGGGAGTGGAAAGCAGGAAGATCCAGAATTCAGGATCATCCTTGACTAGCTAAGTGCATTAGATGCCAGCCTGGGCTAGAAGACAGCCTGTCTCAATAAATAAATGAATAAACAAGTACATAATTCAAAGCATATGCTCCAGAGAGATATAAGCCTCAATGTCTCCAGGAAAGAATTGAGGGTATGCACCTCAAATATTCTCTTGGTGAATAATAGGGCCTCAGCATTTAGGGACTGCTAAAAATCTCCCAAGAATAAGTTTAGCTGAGAAGGACTGCCCAGAACTGACACTGGAAACAATTGGGCTTTTCAAACCCTGTCACTTCTCAGAAGATACTACCTTGAAGACGGTTCCTATCACCCTTGCTCTGACCCTGTCTCTTCTAAATCCGGTCTCACCCAGGTGTTTTGATTACTTAAGAAATTCTAAGTAAATAATAATTTGGGATTAGGGATTTGCCTTTCACTCTACACCCTCCCGGCAATTGCACTGGGCTCCTGACACTCCATTTTGTCTGATGGTTCCTGGCTATGGTTCTTGAGTCCGAGAAGGCTAATAAATGTGTAGAGAATACAGGCGGGCATGGGTTTATGTGACTGTAATCCCAGCATTTGGGAGGTAGAGCTAGGATGATCAGAAGTTCAAGGCCACCTGGAATATGTGAGAGACAATCTCAAAAAATAAATAGAAAATAGCCAGGTGTGGTGGCACACGCCTTTAATCCCAGCACTCTGGGCAGAGAGACAAGGCAGATCTCTGTTAGATCAAGTTCAGCCTGGTCTACATGGCTAGTTCCAGGCCAGCTGGGGCTACAGGGAGACCCTGTCTCAAAGCAAAACAAAAAAACCCAATAAACAAAACAACAAAAGCACAAAAAAAATTTTAATGAAATAAAAAGTACATGCCATCCTTTCTCCTTTATCTTTAATTTTCCTTCCTTTTTCTTTTTTCTTTTGAGAAAGGGCCCCCCTCAAACTGGAAATCCTCCTACCTCAGCCTTCCGGAACTTATTAGTGTGGATATCATGACTGAAGTGGCCCATTTGTTCCATTGTCTAGGGTAGACACAGACTCTGTGCTTTAACTATCACCAGGGAGATAAAACTACTATATTACAGTTTTCCTTAAATCACTGGTCTTTTTAGAGCTGTAAAGGTACTGTACATGGCTTTAGGTCTGTAACCTACAGTGCCTGCCCTGCTCCTCTCTGAAAAGGTGTTAGGAATATCAGCAGATTAGTCAGAAGCAGGTGTTAATTGACTTTCTGATGCAGTATCAGAATTTGAAAGTGCTTCTGTGTATCCTGAAAACAAATTCATCTCTTCCAATCACTTCTGTCTGTTGTGGACATTGTCCATGCAAGGTATTTTCTGGCAGAACCTCCCAATTTAGAAGTCAGCCCGTTCTTTTAGCAAGGCCTTACCAATGGCCACCCATAACAAAATGGCGGCCCAGCTCATTTATTCTGTGTTGGGTTGTCCAAATGCCCAGGTGAGCATGCTCATGAGGCCAGGAGTCTATTTCCTCTCCTTCCTGATCAGCCTCTTAACCTGAAACTTGACAAATAACTAACCAAGAAATCCCAAAGCACAAAGATGGAGGAAGGTTTATGTCCACACAATCCCTTACAATGCCTCAGTATCCAGAGGCCTCACAGAAACACCAGACCAAAGTCTGAAGAGTGGTCCATTTCTCCTTCAGCATTCACTCCACCTTTACAGTGTGTGAGGCAGTCAGCCAAATTAAGTTTATGTAGATTTGTGGTCTAAATATAAATAGACACACACACTTTTAGAAAATTCCAGGCTTACCTGCTTTAGGATCATATGATTCTTAGACTTAATGCACCTTTTCTGTAACAAGGTCGGTATTGCAAAATGTGCCGGTAGCCAAAGAGCGACATCCAGTTCCCTTCTCCGCACCCAGTGCTCTTCCACAGCAGATGCAAGAACATTGTTTCAGTAATAAAGTATGATGCTATCTCACTCTGGTGGCTCATAGGCAAAAAAAAAAAAAAAGCAATTGCTTGCTGTTTTGATATTATCTCTAAGTTTGCTTCTAATCGGCCCTTTCTATATATATAATAGACGGTCCCTTAAAATTATTCTTTTTAAATCAGTTTGCATCAAACCCACCCTGATGAATATGAATCCCGTGAGCTATTAGCATTTCAAGGAGGCAAAAATCACAAGTGGAGGATAACATGAAACTTGGTAAACTGGATGGTCAATTTTAAGAACCGGTGGGTGCGTAAACTATGGGCCACTGTAGTCCTCTTTCAAAGACTATTAGAAACCCAAGGGAAAAGATTTCGATCAAAACTTAGATGGAAGGGACTCGGTCTCCCGTCAGTGCTTGTTTTAGATGTAAAATGGAGCCACAGTATCCACGATGAGCAGACAGACCTTCCTCAGCTGCCGGTTATCGACCTTGCAATCACTAAAGCAATTTTTGGAGCGCGCTACCGGAACCCAGGCGTTCTGAAACTTTCTCGTGCGCTCCCGGTTTTTCATAAATCTCAATTTCCCGGCTTTTTCTTTTCCTCTCCTAGGACGCCTAGTGGAAGCGAGGATGGTCCCCGCGGATTTCGCCCACGCCCCAGCCAATCTGAGCCCGGATGCTAATTAGCTACGCTTCCCTGATGAACACGCCTTTGTCACATGTAGGACCGGACTACAAAGCCCAGCATGCCTCGCCCCTCCCTGATCAATGAGGACTTATTTAAATGATCTCTGAGGTCTTGGACCCAGGCCAATCAGCTGTCAGGGCTCATGATAAATCGCAATGCATTATTGATAATAATAATTACTGGGACATGCGCGTTCCGGCCAAAGGGGGGTAAAATTTCCCAACTCCAGGAATTTGTGGCGGAGCGGGGGCAAGTCACTAGGGCTCTTCCCGGCGCCCCGATGCGCGCATCATGTCGAGGCGCAAGCAGGCGAAACCCCAGCACATCAACTCGGAGGAAGACCGGGGCGCGCAGCAGCAGCCGAGCCCCGACTTTGCAGATGCGGCGGCGGGGGAGCCGGGTGAGTGGGGCCCGAGCGCTCGACGGTCGGTCCACCCGGGGAGGGAGCTTCCTGGACGGCCGCGCGTCCATCTAGGGTGCGGATCCTGGAACCGAGGTCTGGGAACCCCTTCCATGAAAGAGGGAGAGAGAGGTGGGGGCAACCTCCCCCCTTCCCCGTGGAAGTTCCCCCCAGCTCTCCCCTCTTATTGTAAAGTTGACCCCCCCCCATTCCTCTGCCGCCCTCTCTCTCCAAGTTCCCCTCTCCTTGTCCTCTGTCCGGTAATTGGCTCCCCTCCACTCCATTGCAAAGCACACCCCCAACTTTGGTAACTTAGGTTTCCCTCTCCCTTTCTGGCGCCTCTTTTAAAAGAAAGAGCCCCCCCCCAGGCTCCCCACCCTCTCCACCACCCCCTTAGGGGCCTTTGGAGGAGGGGCGCACCCCTGGAGGACCCCCCGGAGGAGGGCGATCTGTTGCACGCGCCCCTCCCAGGCCGATGGGGGAGGGGGCGCGACCTCCCCACCCCCCACCCTGGACTCGGGTGCCGGCCACCCGCGCTGCGGCGGGGGCGGGAGCGCGCCGATTTGGGGACCCGTGCTCTGTTTTATTGCCTTTCTGAGATTTTAATTTTATTTTTACCTTAAAAAAAAAATAAAGTCTCACAATGTAGCCCGGCTGGCCTGAAACTCTATGTAGACCAGGATGGCCTCCATCTCACAGAGATCCTCCTGCCTCTGCCTCCCGAGTGCCGGGATTAAAGGCGAGCGCCACCACGCCCGGCGAGATTTTTATTTTTTAGTTATTTCATCTCACTTTTCGGCTTGTCCCCCGGGGCTACCCAGTCTTCGGATCTTCGCCCTAACCTTTCGGGGCCTGACCTCCAGCCATCTTTGATTTCCGACTTCCTAAAAATAGCCGCGGCAAGGCGGAGGGGTGCCAGTTCCCCAGGGTTCCGGGGTGCACGGTGACCCCGGCTGAGATGCATCCCACTTTGCCTTTTTGTGTGCGTGGTTTTCTGGGGCGGGCAGCTTTGCACACGCCAGGGATGTGAAAGGGGAGAGGTCGGACTGGGCGGTCGCGCGCGGGGCGAGCTCCCGGGCTGACCTGGCCCACGCTTCCGCGCCTCCCGAGGCCGGCTCCTTCCCAACGGGAGCAAGTCCGGCTCCCACTATCTCCTCCCCTCCCGGGCCCGCCAAATTGTCGCCTGATAAATTTGGAGCGTCCGCGTGGGGGAGGGGGCACCTCGCCTCCCTCCCGCCAGGGTCTCCGCGGCTCTCTGCTCCCCGCCTGCTTTCTAATTCGCCCCACTCGTTGGGCTGTGCGTAGCAATCCCGGGGCACTGCGCGCCCCGATAGTGCCCTCTGGTTTCCCGCGGATCCCAAAATTGCTACCTTTCGAGCTCGGTACCCCTCCCATTTTTGTACCCAATTCCCTAAATTTATCGTAGTTCCAGGACCTTTCACCCCAGAACAGTTTTTCCCCAGGGCAAATGAAAGGTCCTACTTTGGCCGAGGGGTCCACTGTGCTTTTGGGGGGCGTATCTGAGGAGGGGGGGTTAGAGCATCCCACACCAGCGATCCCAGCGACCCGGATGGACTCTTTGTGCCTTGGCTAGAGGAGTGAGGGTGGGGGGCAACCATCGTGGAGAGGCTCGGTCGTCTGGTCCACCTGGAACAAAAGGGTTAACCCTCGGCCCGCCTGCTTCCTCTGGAGAGGAGGGGCGAGCTCCTGGCCCTGACCCCTCCCCTGGTCCTGCGCTGACCTCCCATCCCCCTTCTTTTTGGGTGGGCGAGCACCAGTGGGGCGTTTGCTGGTGGTTGGCACTCTGGGGAGCGTGGAGGAGCAGCGTGTTCCAGTAGGGCTTGGGAGAGCGCTGGCTGGAGTGGCAGTTAACCTGGGCTGGACCCTGGCTGTGCGTGCTCTCTCACCGGGATTTGGGAAGGGAGTTCTATTGATCACCGGGGTTCGGTGCATACCCACCCGGTGGGGGCTGCGCTCGGGCGCCCCCTGGAGACGCATCCTGCAACCGCACCGGGGGCTGGGAGGCGGTCCCTGCAGATGCTGGCTCACACCTGGTGAGTGGGGCCGGCTGGGGGCGTGTGGCTGGGCTGGGCAGGGCCCGGGACACCCTGGGGATTTCTGCTGGTTCGGTGCCTTCTCGTAGCTAGCTGGCTGTGCGCGGTGTTCTGGAATTCTTAGAAAGAATTCCTCAAAGCCTGAATGTATTCGCCGAGCCCTGGTTGTAGCCTTGGGAAAGAAGCAGCTCCCTATCCCTCCCCCAGCAGTGTTCCACCTCCGGGAGGTTGGGTGATAGATCCCATACAAGTTAAGGTTGGATCCATCTTCTTAGTTGTCTGTCCGTGGAAGGCAGTTTTTGAGGAAAAAGAAGAAAAAAAAAAGAAATCCGGGCAATAAATTAGCAGATCAAAAAATCCGCAGGTGGTCCGGGAGGGGGACTCACTACTTAAGGGAAAATTAGCATTTTCTCAAAAGGGTTTCAAATACCCTTTGTGCTAAACTGGATTACAACTTTCAGCGATTAAGATTCCCAAGTTTCTTGTAATTTAGCTCCAGTTTCTGGCCTTCATTGACCTGCCTACACTGGCGATAGTTAGCATTTCAAGCAAATTGACTGGAGTTACCAAAAGGGGAGAGGGGCTGTAATTTGCGCAGGGCCCTTCTTTAATTCCTTAAAGATAAATTGCTTGTAAAAATTCGTGAACTCGCCCTCTGGTAAATGATAACTTTGGCACTGGTGCTGGGGAGTTAGCAGGCTTTCTCCTAGGGAGGGACTGGAGAACCATTTCTTGTGAGGCTATGGGAGCTTGGAAAAAATTCTGGTAAAGTTTGGTTAGATAGGGTCTACATTCCCTTCTGGTGGTGCTTTGTAAACTTGAGCCTAGCTTGACACACACACCCCACACACACACACACTTTGAGTCTTTATACATACACAGGCATTGAAAACATCTACAGTGATTTCAGCTATAACAGCGTATTGTGTGTTGGGAGGGTGATCGGTAATTAATTTTGTTGAAAATGACAAAATGTTTTTGCCAATGCTCATTGAAATACTTGTGTTGAAACAGAAAGCCTGCTGAGTGCCAGACCCCAGGCTGGGAGCAGCACATTACCTTTAATTCCCACTGAAGTAACTTTGCAGATTTACTCCATGGGAAGTGAATTGCAGGACCTTGGGGACCTGGCTTTGCCCTTAGTGTCTTGTCTGGCCTGCCTCCTGTTCTGCAGTTTGTGCATGATCTTACAGCAGTTGGTGATTTTTTTTTTTTTTTCCTTGTTAGGAAGATAAGGAAGCCATGGTTGGTGTCTGAAGCTGGTTGGGTTTGGTGACATTTCTGCCCTTTTTGGATACTTTTCGCCCTCCACCCTCAACTGGGCTGGCTTTGATTTAGAACTCAATATAGCTCAGGTTGGCCACAAACTTGTGCTCCCATCTCTGCCTCTCAAGTACTGGCATTAGAAGCCTGTATCACACTTATGTCCAGCCCTCCTGATTTTTTCCTAATCACCTTTAGAAGTTGTAGATGAAGGGATCCTGGGAAGGGAAGTCAGGAATAAATTATTTGACAACTTTCTCTGCACCATATTGTTTTAGAAAAAGTAATGGGGAAAGGTTTCAGGAAATAATTGTTCTTACTCAATTTAATCTACACTTTGAGTTATTTTTAAAAAAAGCACAACACCTAAACGTGTTGAGAACCCTTGGGCTCTAGGGTAGAGGTGCCTACTATTCAGCCTCTCCACTGCATCTGGGTCAGGCTTTGTGTCTCCTGATCCCAGGCTCTGTGAGACTTCCCCAGGATAGGGGTGAGAACCAATCTTTGTGTGCCTTATTTTGACCTTTTCACTCTTTCAAAAAAGTATTACATTTATTTTATGTGTGTACATACAAATTGTGGGTGTTGTTTCTCATTCCACCACATGGGTCCCTTGAGATAGAACTCAGGTCCTTAGACTTTGCAGCAAGTGCCTTTATCCACTGAAGCATCCCATCCCATCTGCTTTTCCTTTGACTCTTTTAAAACCTTTTCCATAGGGCCCCTGAACTTTGATCAAAGACTGTTTGATATTAAGTAGAAACTTAATTTCAGATCAAATTGGCCATCTACAAGTTGATTTCCAGGCTTGCTACTTAAGCAGTATGAAACTAGTCAGATCCTTTCTTTCAACCAGGTCAATACCTGGGGACATAATAACTTTTTTTTTTCGGTGAGCACTTATCCTGGGGGTAGGGCTGTGCTTTAGGTAACCTGTTCGTCTTCATTATATTAATACAGAAGAGTCACCAGGCTTTTATCAGGGGATTTTATTTTTTTGGCTGTTTGTCTCCAGCCAGTGGCTGGCCTCCTGGTAGATTAGCTTTCTTCCTATACAATAGTAAGAGTATTTTCCATCCATTTGGCTGAGGTTGAATCTAAGACCCCTGCTGGGTTTACTGCATTCTTCCAACTTATTGGATAACTAGATGCTGAGAGATAACATTCCTAAAATTCGGAATGGGGGTGGGGTGGGGGGAGGCTAGAACTGCTTGCTGTGTAATCCCTGTGAACTTTGCTTTCTTTTCCTTTGGGTTAACTTAAGCAGAGCCAGCCATTGTTCCTAACAGGGTCCTCTGACTCCTTGGCAAATAGGGCTTGGTATTTGCCAGTGGTGGTGTGGATGCGGCAGTGTTTACTACCCAAGCAAACAGAGCTGTGCAGTTTTAAGTGGGGTATTGCCTGTGCGAGCCTTCCAGGCTGGAGAGAAATGTGGGCTTTGGGGCTTATGTATACAGTGAGGGCAGCTGGCATTTGGGCCGTAAATCACTAGGAACTGGTGGATCCTACCAGAGCAGAGGAGCTTAACCTTTTGGGGGGGCATAGATCCCTTCTCAACAGAATGCTGAAAAGACACAGAATGCCCAGGAACACAGTACAATTGACACACAGCTCTCAGAAAAACATTTACGTTTTCTTTCCTGGTCTTCCTTATCTGCAGGTTCTAGAATAACTAGCACAGGC